TGTGCCGGGGAGATATGGTGGCGGTGACTCTATGGGGGGGGGGGATAAGATGTGACCCACACCCGATGGATGGTGTACTGTCCGGGGAGAGCAGAAGACGGATGTCTGCGCAAGAAGTTAGTGGGAGGAGGGGCTGTTTTTCATATATTTTTTGTAAATAAAATAAATAAAGTAGCAGTTGTTTATGTGGTGAGATAAATGTCACATAACCTCTCAAAGTCATTTTTAGAGAATAAACCAACAAATTATGTATAGGTGAGCCTACAATTTATAGCTCCTAGAAATTAGGATGCGACTCACTATCTATAAAACAAGAACATTATGCCATAATGAATATGTAATGTATACATGCATATTTTTATTTTATATTTTATTTTAATATATGTTTATATGGTTCACTTTTGTTGATCGGCGATAAAAGCTGATGAATACTCCCTCCGGTCCTTTATTGTCTGCGTTCTGGAAAAATCAGTTTTTCCCACAATGCTCTACGCATTGGCTTTTTCTGGCTTCTGTTTCCAGCTATGCCCCTGCTTTCCAGTTGATCGCATGCATGCACAGAGTAACTGACCAGCGTCTCCTCGGTAGCAATTCAGGGGCAAAATAGTCCAAATTTTGCTGAGTGCTCCTCTCCTTGGTATTCAGGCTGGAGCTAAAACGCAAGCAATAAAGGACCGGAGGGAGTACGTATGATACTTTGAAAATATCACTATATTTTAAAAATATATACTCAATTGCATGGATTTGTTTAGCTATTTTGTTTCTGTTTTATGCTCCCATGGAATGGTTAAGGTGAGTATTCTTTTTCGTTGCACATTCATACACCTTCCATGTGAAATATTTATGCTGACTATATATATTGCTTGTGCAGGGATTATGAGTTGAGGAAGAAAATTTTATTATACTTTCTCAAGTATCATGTGAATGAAGTTAAAAACATTTCTGATATTGTACGAGGCGCGTCAAGGTTTATATTGCCTGTGCAAGGTTTATAAGGGATTATATGTTGGATCATCGCTCTCTCATATACATCATCAACTTATTAACTTACATTGCAAGTGAATTGGATTTCAATTATTTTCTGATATTGTGAAACTTAACATACATTAGGTTTATAAATAATACCAGCCAAAAATATAAAATGCCCGTGGCAACGCACGGGCAGTCCACTAGTATTTGTAGGTACAACGACGGTGGCCCTAAAATTAAGCGCCAATTAATTAATGATTGTAAATTTCGTAGCTAAAATGGAACTTAGTTGGAGCAAGGATCTAGTCTCCGAGTGTTGTCGTACCCAGTTCCATCCATCCAACAACAAATCAATCATTGTACTCCTCCCATTTTAAGGCTTATTTGATTCCCATGAATTCCAGAAGGCGAGAATAGAAAAAATATAGGAATAGAGTAGAATGCCATCTTGAATACTACATGATTGTAAGGGTGTTCAATTGTACACATGAAAAATTTAGGATTCTTTTAAAGAGAGGTTCAAGTGGCCGAAAAGTTTCCTACAAAATCTAGTTCAAATGAACCAAAGAAAAAAAATTCTATTGTTTGCAATCCTATGAATCAAACAACCTACATAGATAAAGTTGCTAAGGATATGAATCGTTCAAAATTCCTATGAGAATCCTTTAAATCAAAGAAGACAAAGAGGGTAACTTTGGAAACAAGTTACATACCAAGGAGAAGTAAAGAGAGGTTATTACTTAGCCTTCATGCATCGGCGGACGAGGCCACTCGTCATTAATGCCCATGTCGTATAGTATGGGAAACACTTCCTATCTGTAGACTGATAGGAGGCAAATATCAAACCATTAGACTGCCCTTGATTCGGTTGGGATCGGATGGTCACTGATTATGCCCATATATGTCCATTAAAAAGATTAAAAAAAACACCCCCTCGTCCAGAAAGAAACCACCCACAAACCCTGCATGTAACATCTCCTTAATCATTCTCCCCGTATCCCTCCTGATTCCAATCGCACACACCGCCCGGAGCTCTTCCACCTCGCACGCACCAACCAAATCCCCTTTCCCATGGCCTCGCACGCACGAGCCTCCTCCTCTCCTCGAGCAGCGGGGTCGCTTCCGTCCCTTCCACCGCGCCGGAACGCCACCCCTCCGTACGCGGCGCACTGCCCATCTCCAACCGGGTGTCCGCTGGCGCTATTGCCTAACCATGCGTCCTGGAGGATCAATAGATGGCCGGTGGATCAGAAACCATGATAATAAGCAAAGCGTCCCTTTTGGCTGAATTTTTTTCGATGTGTTCGTTGTGTCGATGCAGATACTATTTTGAGATTGTATGGGTATATGCTTTCAAATTTTCATGCTTCGTATGTATCATATTTGTGCTTCTTCCTAACATACAATTCGCTTCATACATAACATAATTTTACTTCACGCAATGTAGTTTGCTTCCTATGTTTCATACATGCGCTGCGCTTCTATACTGTATTCAAGTTGCTTCCTTTGCATGTTTCATAATGTTTTTTGCCTGTGTTTGAAATCAAGTCAAACAACTCATTTTCTTTTATTTTTTTGCAGGGTCGACAACAACAGAAGAGCATGCCTTGTTGACAAGTGAGAATAACATGACGGTTGATACAGGGCAGGGTGCACAACATGAGATTTGTTTGGAAGCAAACTAGCTAGCCTGGTACACCCTCAGTTGTCACACGTCAAAATCTTCACCCCCTCAATGGCGTCGACCCTCGCCGACGACATTGGCATCTGCATATTTGTGGGAGAAATGGAGGTCTTCAAGGCTAGGTCGGACACCATGGATGGAATATAGCGGGGTACTATGGATTATGAAGCACGATTTGTATATGGAAGCACATTTTTTGTATATGGAAGCATTGGTTTCACTCAATGGAAACAAATTGTGAACATTTGTATTTTTTTTCGATACACGTCCTAATGTGCTTGAAACATGTGTACATATGATAATGGTTATTTCTTTATAGTGAAGGTCTAATTTTCTTGGAAGCAATTATCTACTCGCTGGAAACAAGATTTTGATGTTTGGAAGCAAACTTTCCATTGAGTAAGAAACGATTTTTTAACTGTAGCACGTTGATCGTGGATGCAAATTCATCGGTAGGCGGAAGCGCATTGAATTCACCGTGAAATAAATCTATTGCTCCAAAGAAAACAAAGGATCACATCGGCGAAAAAATTCTACATGTCCCCATGACTTAGAAACCACACTTTTGAAGCAATTTTATTTTTTATAAGGGGTTGTTTGAGAGCAAGTTTAAATAATACTGGAATCAAGATTGCTAAATCAGGAAGCAAACCACATAGCGTCCAAGCCAACAGTGCATGGAATCTTGCGTTTAACCAGCCGTAATCTAAGGGAATAGTAATGGCAATAAACCTTAGTTATCCATACTAACTAGCCGGACTCTGCTTTTACTATGCCTCATCATACGCTGGAGATTAACCCAATCCTACGGCATTTGACTAGTCTGATAGATGCAAAGCATCAGTAGTCAGTATTTTGATGCCTAGTGTTGCCTGTATAGTATTCTGCGTACCGAAAAGAAGTCAAAAGAGATTGCTTAATCTTCATGCATTGACTGACCGAGCGGATTGATTGATTTGATGGGAAAATCTATGAAACATATGCATGCACAGTTGATACTACGTTTCAAATGAGATTTTTTGTTGATTGACTGACTGAACTGATTTCTCTGTTGATTGATTAATTGATGGAAAAAGATTATGAATCATATGTATGCGGGTACCATCTCATTCCCAGGACAGTGTGCGTGTACGATTGATTGGTCGTGCTTTTTTTTTCAACATCCGTGCATGTCCTACCTACGCACGCACATCGGTCCATGTAGGTTTAACACACACACACACACACACGAAGAGCACGCACGCCTATACAGTGAGCAAGGCACCGCAGACTTGTTCTTGAACTGAGAAAGTTTGAAAGGATGGAGTGATTCTCAGCTGAGACAGCACACTACTGATGGCTTGTGACCTTAAGTAGCCAGCACAGCTTGCCGAAAACGAAAACCATCAACTTACAAACAAAATGAAATAAGTAGCAAGTCCAGTGCTATTGGCGGTACGTCACGCGTCTTCTCTGCTCCGTGGTCTCCGGTCACTCCACTAAAGCCCCAAGCAACGAAAGTGAGGCAACATTGATCGCCTGACTCGGCCCTTGTCTTGACTTTCAACCATGCATGCATGCACGCAAGCCCTCCCAAATTTTTGCGGGACATTGCATCTGTAGGATGTTTATGCTACCAGCTCACTTCCACAATACAGTGTGCATAGACTTTGACCAAATTTATAAAGACCATGTTAGATAAGTGAAAGAGTACTAATTAGCTATGCCTTTCACACCGTAGTGCGCATAGACTTTGGCCAACTTTATACTCTCTCCGTTTCTTTTTACTTCACATATAAGATTTATTTAAAGTCAAACTAGTAAAATTTGACCAAATTTATATTAAAATATATCAACATCTACAATACTAAAATTAAACAATATGAAAATTAATTTCATAATGCATCTAATAAAATTAGTTTGATATATTTTACTATAAACTTAGTCAAACTTTACAAAAGTTGACTTTGACTAAATTTTATATGCAGACTAAAAAAATGGAGAGAGTACCACATTATGATAAAGAGAAAGAGTACTAATTGTACCCCGCAAAAAAAGAAAGAAAAGAAAGACTACTAATTGTGCCTTCCACACTGTGTGGATCGGTTCAGCTGAAACTTTCCGATCTTGCTTATGCAGTACACACATTTCCACCTCTAGAACCAAGATAAATCCATTAACACCGGCCAATCAACCTGTGCATGTTTTTACCTAGGATTGTGATGAACAGCCTAATACTATGCAGGTCAGGCACTTGTTATTCGTCAACAAGCAACAGAGTCACAATCACAACAAACAAGTAATATAACTTGATTGATATGATCGATGCGTCCGGAGATGATGTCGACGTAGGTCGTTTCTCCGTAGGTTAACGAAGCGCCGCATGGTGTGAAGATTCAGGTTGATGATCGTCGTAGGCGGCAAGGCGAGACAGAGCTGCGGCGACGGCACCGATGGGGGATCTCATGGCCGGCTCTTCGTGGATGCACATGGAAGCAACTTTCAGTGCCTCTTGCAAATCCATGGACGGGTATCGGCCCTGCAGTGCTGGATCTGCCATCCGGCGGAACTGGCCCCTGTCCATCAATCGTGTGGCCTGATCCAACAGCAAGTTTCACATCATTCACGGCCAAATTAACAAGAAGCAGCAAATATATACATGTCAACCACGAACCCGGCTGTAGTTAACTTACCCATATGACAAGGTTGCAATCCTCGGCGATGGCCCGGGTGGGGTCGACGGGCCTCCTCCCTGTGGTTAACTCCAGCAGGACGCCGCCAAAGTTGTACACGTTCGACTCCATGGTCGCCTTCCCTTTAAATCCTGTCTCGGGGGCAATAGCAGCGGTTCTGGTGAAATCAATACACAATTTCTCATCATCGTCCACAACTAGCCGACCAAGGTCTGCCAGTCCATATTGGGACAACTTTGGGTGGTGGCCTTCTCCGAGCAAGACGTCCGAGCTGCTCATGAATATGTGGTACACCACACCTTTGTCGTGGAGATACTCTAAACCCTTGGCCACGCCGGCAGCTATGTTCATCCTTGTGTTCCAGTCTAGCAGTGCTTGGCCCGGAGACCGATCTGATGAGCACAAGATCGATCCGGGGGTTAATTAATTAACACAAACTCAAGCAATCGAATCATGAGTACTATGAACAAAACTAATGTTTGGTAGCCAATACATACCATGGAGGTGATTTTGGAGAGAACCCAATGGCATGTACTCGTGAACCAAGATCCTGTTTTGGCCGTCTGCGCAGAAGCCAACAAGGTTGACGACATTCGGATGGCGCAGCACGCTCAACGTCATGACACGGGCAAGAAAATCCCTGTTGAGTTGCTCTGATGACGATCTAACAGGATCAACGGCATGCTGCAGCTTTATAGCAACAACCTAAAACGAATATTGTATGATGATCCACTCGCATATCAATTTCCCCCTCATGCATGCACGTCGATCATGACATCATGCATGGCACATATATGAAACTAAGTGAAGAATGGATTAGCTAGCTAGCCAGGATCATCACCTGATTGAGGCTCCTGAGGTAGCCTTTGTAGAGACTCGCCTCCCGAACGATGCGGAAGTCGTCTCTGAAGTTCCCGGTCGCCGCCGCGAGCTCGTCGAAGGCCAAGGTTCGTGCCGCGGTGGCGGCGACGCTGCTGCTGCTGTGGGGATCGGCCAGGGGAGGCGGTGGGACTTCCTTCCTTGCCCCCAGGCAGAGGAAGCAGCTGGAACCACCCATCAATCTTCTTACCTCACCTTGTCGCCGGCGGAGAGGAAGCCACCGCAGTGCTTGAAGGAGAAAGTTTGCTATCAGCTGACACATCGGCCGCATCGGCACCGCACCACTACCGGTGGCTTGTGGCCTTAAGTAGCCATCACTGCTGGCCGAAGACGGAAACCACCAACGACTTGCAAGCGCGTCTCCTCGGTCACTTTGCCGAAAACGGCCAGTAGGCAGCAGTATTTCTCTGACCGTGCTCTCATCTCTTCTGAATAGTCACCGGGGTTGCATTTTGACCATCGATTTTTTTTACAGACTATAGTACAGCACGACAGAGTGCATCGTCTCGCAAAAAAGAAATTGTGCGTGCTAAACATGGACACCTGCATTTTTTTTTCAAAAAAGGGACTCCCCGGCCTCTGCATCAGAACGATGCATACGGTCATCTTATTAAACCAAAAAAAATAAGTTCCAACAAGGTCTCAAAGTCTTCAACTGAAAAGTGAACAAAACTCACACAGAGCCAAAATGGGCTAGAAACACAAACTAGCCAAATAAAGGACGCCACACCCGGCTGGCAAAAAAGAGATAGGTAAACTAATTGCCTATGCTATTACATGATCGCCATCCAAACCGGATGAAGATATTCCGAGCTATCATCTCCTAGCGGATAGATCCAGTAACCAAACGCTCCCTGGCTTCCGTCGGAGTGAGTAGTGACCACGAACGGATCAACGTCGTGGCTCTGAAAATAACCTGCAAAAAATGAATGTGTGTTGTCCTGTTAAAAACCAAATCATTTCTGCAATTTCAGAGCGCCCACACCAAGGCACAGACTTCTACACGAATATGTCTCGCTAACTCGGACTCTACCTCGTTAAGCCACGTTCCAAATAACGTGTTGACTGAACTCGATGGAGTAATATTAAAAGCAATATGGATCGTCATTCATAAAACTTTAGCTAGCGACAGGACCTACTAGGTGTAGTTTCTGTGATCGGGATCAAACATGGACACCTGCATGAAGCCGTG